TTTTACATGTTTTTAGTTTTTTAAATTAAAAACTTATGGTCACTCTAATGACCATGAGTTTTTAACTTAAAAAAATTGAAAAAGACCAAGAGCGACCAAGAGTCCCTATTCTCTTTTCTTATTCAAATTAATTTTTTTTTACTTATAATTGAAAATGAAACATAAACTAGAGTAAATAAATGAATTTTTAAAAATAGTGTTTAAAACATTTTCCTTCATATTTTTATATATAATGAACCATGGTTTGAAAACTGGCATCTTTGAAGTGTTTTATTTGTGTTTTCCGAACTTACTCAAAAACTGGCATCTTTGAAGTGTTTTATTTGTGTTTTTCATTTTTTTAAAATAAGATATTTACTAGTTAACTTGAGATTTTTTTTTTAAATAATTAAAAATAGAAAACAGCTGTTTTTAAAAAGCTGCTTTTCTTGTTTCTTAAAAAGTTAATAACATTTTTATGTATATCAGGTTAGGTTATTCTGCTACTGGTAACATGTAACCCAATGCAACCTGCTTCATGCCCTGCTGCCTAGTAGGATACACTTTTTTAAATAAAGGCTAGGAGAAGTCAACTCTGACTTAACACACCCCTGCCTTAGGTCTCTTGGTTAAATAAAGGCTAGAAATCATGTCTCGATAAAAATACACATTTTTGGCAGACATTAAATGCATCCTGCTACTGTCTTTTAGAAGGCCTCCTAGGTAAAGATTCAAGGGATAAACAGATTCTATTTCTTGATCAGCTTCACATGACTTTTTCATCTAATAGGCTGGCATAAATGTATTTGTAATACATTTTTTCCAGTTTAGGATGTTGAATGCTGGATCTTCTTGACTGAATGCATGGGTTTTGCTTGTGTGTCTGTTTTTATGACTAGGTGTTTATTATTATTCTATTATCTCCTAATGAGGGTACAGCTCTAAAACTCAGTTATATTGTTCTGAGTCCAGCTGGTAGTCATGATTCCCAAACTCTGTGGTATCTCTCAGAGAGGCTGATTCTATTAACAGCTAAAATATATCAGAGTACTAACAGTGCCCTGTTGCACATGAATGGTGTCCCTGTTAGTACATTTGGAAGAACCTACTTGCTATTTGTGAGACTAATTTGAGTTCAGCTGTCTCATCTTGTGATCTTAGTGTTGATAGTCATCTTTCCTTAATTCGTATTCAATAGTCACAATAGTCACATGCTTGGCCTGGGCGTTAACGCTTGTAAGAATTCACCCATTTGTCAGTAAACTAGGTTTGAATCGACAGAATATTCTTTTATATGATTTTGTTTAACACCACTTCACTCTATTACCTTTCTCTTAGTTCTTATCAGTCTATTTCATCTCAAGACTACACTCTTTTCAATATTATTTCTGATTAAATTGGCCAAGCCTTTTCTTGTTATTTTTCAGCTAATATCGTTGTTGTTGGTGACTTGCTTGCTCATCACTCTAAATGGTTTGGCTCTAGTGTCAGTGACTCAGCAGGCGTTAAAGCCCACATCTTTTGTCTTTCTCAATATTTAACACGGTAGTGGTGTAGTGTGGTAGAGCGCTTTCCTCATAAGCAAGAAGTTTCTATTTCAATCCCCGCAATGTTCTTGGCAGTACCGTGCTTAACATGTTTCTCTGCGCAGTGGCCTTGTTTGTCAAGGTTTGTGTTTTGGAGTTATAGAGTTAAAAGAGGGTTGTAACCACTACTAAAAGTAGCGTCATTGACTGCAATGACCTTTATGGCTTTGTGAAAGTAAATTTAAGTTAAAAAAATACAAATAGTCAATGTTAGAACTTGCTTTCCAGACAATTGGAATCATATACCCCCTCTACTCGAATATCTGAATCAAATATCCTCTGAATCATATACCCTCTCTACTCGAATTATGTTTTGTTTCTGTTTTTGTTTTTGAATCTGAATCATATACCCTCTCTTTTCGAATTATGTTTTGTTTCTGATCCTAGTCAATGCTTAGTTTCTCCACATTCACCCTTAGGTGCTTTTGATCATGGTTTGATCTCTCTAAAACTATTATCTCATTCTTCATCATCAGAATCCCCCTATCATCATACCTCTTACAACACATTAAAGCTGACTAGGACTCTCTCCATGATTTTCTTTGTGAAATTTTTGGTTTTCCTGCTGATAAATGTGCTTCTAATGTAACTTCTTGGATTCAGGCTGGTATGGAATTTTTATTCCCTATTAACACTTTAAGGCTAGACTCACTATTCTCTTTGGTTTTACTCACATTGCGCTGCTGCAATTTTTAATTGTAACCATTACTTCCATATCTATCACCAAAACAATTCTCCAGGTAACAAACAACTGTTTACTATTGCTAGAAACCATTGTTAAAAGGTTTCATCTAATGCCAAAGCCCGCTATTCCCAGGTAACGAAATCTCATGTTTCATCTCAAAAATTAGGCTCTGGAGACATCTGAAGAATCTCTTACATTGTCTACAAAAAGAGCAAATCTGTTATTCCACTACTTTTGCATGGTTCAGATTTTGTTACCTCACCTAAAGACAAAGCTGAATTGTTTTCTACAAACTTTTCATCAATCTAATCATATCCTATCTGGTATAGCCAACAAACAGGTTGATCCATTGCTTGACATTTGTACCACTCCAGCTTCTGTATCTAAAGTTGGCCTATTCTAAAGCAGACAAACAGGTTGATCTATTGCTTGGCATTCATACCATTCCAGCCTCTGTATCTAAAGTGATTTTCTGCTTAGACTCTTTATAATTTATGGTCTGGACAACATACCTGTTATAGCCTTGCAGAAGTGTTCTCCCAAGCTTTCGTCTATACTTTCAAAACTATTTAACAAGTGCTTATCAGTCTTGCTTGTCTCTACCATAAGGTTTCTTTTTATGGTTTATCAGGTAATATCTTTGAGATTATTAAATCTTTCCATACCAATTGTAGTTATAAATGTTGTCCTTGATAAGTTACACTCTTCTTTATTTCCTGTAACTTCAGTGGTTCCTCAAGATTCTATCCTTGGCCTTATTTTTTTTTTTTATTTTATCCCCAGAAATTCTCACATCTAAGGTGGCATTGCTTGCTGATGATACTACCATTTATTCTTGACAAGTAGCCTACAGTCTCTGATTGCTTGGAGAAATCGTTTAAGCTTGAAAAATATTTCACTTCTGCTACAGCATGGGGCTCTTAGTGGCTGGTGATCTTTAACTCAGATAAAACTCAAACTTTTTTTCAGGTAATCGTTATCAAAATAATCTAAATCTTCCTAAATTTATGAACTGTAATGTATTTAATGAGTTCATTACAGTTCATAATACATTTACCCTTCTTCTTCTAAGATTAACTCTTACTTCTGATCTTTCTTGGAAACCATGTATCAAATCCATTGCAAAATTATCATCTGCTAAGGCTGCATCTCTTTATCGTGTTTGCTACTTTCTCACTCAGAATTCTATTCTTTATCTCTATAAATCTCAAATTTGTTTATGTATGAAATACTGTTGCCATATCTGGTGCCAATCTTTAAATGATGTCCTATCTCTTTTAGTTAAGGTACAAAAACGCATTGTAAACATATTTGAACCTGCTCTTGCAGCTAAACTTTAACCATTGTCACATTGTAATAATATTGCTTGTCTTTCTCTTTTCTATGAATACTATAATGGTTGCTGCTCTAAAGTGCTTGTGTCTCTTGTGTTATCTACTAATGTTCTTGTGTTTTACTTGTCATTCAATTAAGTTCCTTTTACTGTTCTAAAACTAAAGTGGTCTAAAAGTTTTTTGCTTTTTTCTAAAAGTGTTCTAAAAATTCTTTTTTGTCTAGCTTTTTTCCTCAAACTCTTATCCTATTCTATCTTATTTTATAATTATTATTATTTATATAATTATTATTATTTATATAACTTATTCATATAATTCTTTTAAGTCATCTGTTAAACGTTAACTTGCTTTATAGACTTTATCTTTTCTCTTCCAGTAATTTCCAACTTTGATAATGGTTGCTTGCAACCTTGTTGGAAGTGAAGATGTTTAAAAAAAATATATAGTTGTATAATTGGTAGAGTTAAATATGTCAATCAAAGTGCATTTAAACTGCTTTCTTGCTGCTTTTCTGCTTACTCATATGCGTAATAAAATCTTTGAACAAAAATTGGCAATGATTGATAAAAAGCAGAAAAATAAATTTGTAAAATTAATGAAGTTTAGCATGACTGGTTTCATGGGTACAATTTTTGAGTTGATAAAACTAAAAATTTTTTTTTTTTTTTTTTTCTTATTTAACTCTGATGATTAGACTTAAAAATATTTTTTATAAATTTTTTTTTTTAATATTTTTTACATAATAGGTTTTGGTTTGTATATTTGGTAAAGTTTATATAATTAAATAACATCAAAGTTGTTAGAATGTTGATAAAAAAAAAATTGTTAGTATTAGGATGGAGCTTCAGTTTAAATGTATGAAATATTGATGCTATTGGTTAATTTTTCTTAACCAAAAAATTTGTTTTGACCAAATAAGATAATTTTATATGAGGAAAATGTTTATTTAAAGTTTTGTGAAACATGAAACAGCTAACAGGATTTCACATTGTATATTATGATTGGCATTTTCAAGAAGTTAATATTTAAATTTATAAAAAAAATGTTTTAATGATACACAACTTCTTTATCCTATGTATAAAAAATTTTTATGGTATAAAAACCATTTAAAAACTCTGTCAAAAAATGAGCTTTTACTTGGTTAAAAGTTGTTATATAGTTATATGGTAAAATACTAATTTAATAGTAAATTAAATTTAAGTTACTGATGATATTCAGAAGGGGATTCGTTTTGCAAATAATAATAAATATATATTTTTTTAATATAAAATTAATATATAACTATATTATAATAAATATATTGATGTGTGAATATGCAAAAAAATTATTTAGTTTGAAATAATTTTGAATTTTATAAATTTTTAAATTAACTAATATAATATTGATTTTAATTTTAAAAATTTTTTAAATTTAAAGACATTTAGTGGTGATTCATCATTGATAGTCAGACAAGATAAACTTGAAGAAGAACGAAAACAATTAGAATACTCAATTGCAGAATGTCGGAAAGATAGCATTTCACATTTTATATTACGGTTGGCATTTTCAAGAAGGTAATATTTAAATTTGTTAAAAAAAATATTTGGTAATAATAAGCAGGGTGATTTTGATAATATTATTATTTGTTAATAAAAAGCCAGCCCAATGGCACCCCGTATAACACGGAATTCTCAATGGGGTTGTTAATGTATTTTGTATTGTTGTTGTATTTTGTAAAACAAAAATAATAAATATTTCCAATACCACGACAACCCAGTAAAAAATATATTCTTGGCTAACACCCTGATAAGCTATGTCATATTTGTATTGTATTTGATTAAATTTTTTTATAGATGTTGGTATTTGTATTTGATTGAAGTGTAAATATAATTCCATTAACTAGATTGTTTTTTTTTTTTTTTTTTTTTTTTTTTTTTTTTTTTTTTTTTTTTGAAAAATCTAGAAATTTAAGAATTTAAACTTTTTTTGTGGTAACAAAAAATCTTTTTCAATTTTAAGACTAAAATCCCGGTGGGAAATCGGCTAGTGAATACCTAGCTATAATCGTTACGATTAAGACAGCGATTTGGCCACGAGGATCGCTAGCTTTTTTAAGTTAGCGAAAAGCTATCGGTATTTATTAAAAATATCAAAAAGATATCGACAAGGACAGCTAGCTTAATAAGCTAAAGACTCACAGGCTATTGTAGCTACAGTCATATCGTAATAAAATCGCTATCAAAAAAATTTTGGTATGTAGCTATCAACTAGCTATAGATTTATAGATATTTTGTAGCTAGCTACAAAGCTACGATATGTAGCTAGCGACACATTGCTACAAAATGGCAACGTTTAAAGTTCAATTATTCTCATAATTATAATAGATTCAACACTAAAAATCAAATTTTTAAAGATGTTAGAGACATTAGTAAAGAATAAAATAAGAAAAAAAAAATCACTTGAAAATGGCTATAAAGCTAGCTAGTCGCTCGCTAGTCACTAGCTCATTTTCCACCGGGATAAATTATGAACTGGTTATTATGTGATTTATGTAAAAAGACTTGTTAAAAATATGACTATTTCTATTTGCCTTTGTATTTGGAAAAAGCTGATTACATATATTTGTATTTGAATTTGTATTTAGGAATCTAGAATTAACCTATTTGTTTTTGTATTTGATCAATTGTATTTGACCCCAATTCTGACAGTTCTCCTTTGCTTAATGTTATTAAGTAAAGGAGAAAAGGTAGTTTCCTATAATAAACCAGTCATCTAAATAAATTTTATTGAATGGAGGAGATAATAAACTAGTCATCTTAATAAATTTTATTGAATGGGGGAGATAATAAACCAGAGAGCATTTTTTTTATTTTTGTAGTGGCGTACCTAGGGTAGGGCAGGCAGAACACGTGCCATGGGCGCCAACCTGAAAGGGGCGCAAAAGAGGTTCGGTTGCGATACAATAAGCGAGAATTGTATAAAATAAATTAAGGTTTAAAAAAAACTTTAAAGTAGTTTAAAATTTTAAAACACTTTAAAACTTTATTAGTTTTTGTTGTAAGGTAGCCTTTTTCCGCAGCCTCTATGCGCAAGTGTGTGCAATTTATGCGCAAGTGAGTGCAACTTATGCACTTTTAATGAAACTAATGAAAAGTAAGATTTTTATATTTTATTTTATGGTGGCTCACTCCCTTAAAAAATCAAAATTTTTTTTTTTTTAAAAATCACGTTTTTTTTGATAATTTATTTTTAATATTATGTGCTTTAAAAGTAACAAAAAATACATTTAATGTTGTCAATGCACTTTCCTACTCCATAGCAATGCCATAGCAACTGTGTAAACAAGTAATTTATTCATTTAACTTCTTGAAAATTTCCACTTGAAGTTTTAAATTATTTCTCAGTGTTAGATCTATTATGCTTTTCTACTGTTCTGCAAAATATTATATTTCTAAAAAATGTGCTAAAAAAAGTGGTTATAAATATGTCAAGCAAATCAACTGTTATTAATAAAAATTGAAGAAAAAATATTAAGATCGATAAAAAAAAGAAAAAATTTTAGTTCCAGCCCTGGAGCAACTATTTAGCTACCATTTGGCAAAATATGGTATATTTAGTCCATATTTTAGTGAAGATATCATTGTTTTAGCTAAGGTAAGATTTTAGACAAATTATGCTAACTCAGCATCAAAAAATGCAAATTTCATTTTTCTTTTAAAAAGTTAAAGTTTTAACATAATTTCCTTAGATAAAAAACAAAAATCAAGTTTTTAACATTTATAAATAAAAAGTTAGATTTAAAAGGGGTGAGCCACCTTAAATAAATCAAAACTGAAATATACACTGGCCCCTGGTATTGCTTGCATAGGCGCCTTCTGAATTACTGGATTCGTCTTCTACAAATATATTCTTAAATATTTTGTTGAGATATATTAAGGTAATTAAAAAATATATTGCTTTTGTCAATTATGTATAGCAAATTCTTAATAATTTAAAAGTAATTACCTGAGAACCATGAATCGTTCTTTTGAGAAAAAGAAGGAAAGTGGGGCTGCAGGTCGAAAATGACGTTCATTAGAGGCAAAAGAAAAAGAAAAAAGCTGCAAAGTTTTTAAGACGTTTTTTCAAAAATCGAGCACGAGCACGACTTCTTCAGGTAATCCAGAAAATTCTGCAAGCGCAAGGCCTCAAGAATTAGAAGATACTGGGTCAAGTTCAAGCAAGAAATAATTAGTTGCGGCATCTATTGATGGCGATGCAGAAAATTTTAGTTATAATTCCAAAATCCTTGCTACTTCTGAAGAAACAGAAGTTAGGCCTGAGTTTGAGAAAGAAAAGAAGATTGATGACATTGAAGATAAAGACTTGATATCCAAAAATGTCTAAATTATTAAATGTCTCATACCTAAAATTATTGAAGAACATGACATCAGATTTCTTATGTTTAGTGAAGAAACAGGAAAAGCAATCATAACTGATCCAGTGAGAATTGAAATTATTAAACATGGTTTTAACCATTTCCAAAACATGGAAGGTCTTTTTCTGCCGACTATCAATTGTTCTATGAACAAAACTTGGTTCATTAAAAAATTAGAAAACGGTGAGCAAGTGATGTGTTCATCGTTGGTTTACTCGCCTTTCAAAAAATCTGCCTTTTGTTTTTGCTGTCTTCTTTTTTCAAAATGCGAAAATCAATCTAGTTTGGAGCACTAAAGCGGATTTATTCATTGGAAAGCACCTGAGAGAATGAATGTACTTGAAAAAACAATGCTTTACCCAATGAAAAGAACTGCTTTACCTAATAGAAAGAAATTTTTTTTCAAATAGAGGAATAATTGATGCAGAACTTCAACAACAAATTCAAAGAGAAAATCAAAAGTGGTGTGATATTTTGAAAAGGCTGTTGCATTGCATCAAATACCTTGCAATGCAAAATTTAGCTTTGCGAGGACACCAAGAATCACTTCAATCAAATGCTAACTCAGGAAATTTACTTGGTTTACTGAAACTAGTTTCCAATTTTGATCCTGTTATTAAAGATCGTTTAAAATTTGCGAAGAGCCATCCTGAATCCACTACATATCCTTCACCCAATATTCAGAACAAGTTTGTTCACATCATAGCATCCACTGTTCGTGCTAACTTGCTTGAAAAAGATGCATAAAGCAAAGTATTATGGGCTAATGTTTGTCTCAGCTCCAGATTTAGCCCGCGAACAAATGTCTGAGGTAGTTAGGTATATCGAGATCGATTTCAAGAAAAACAGTACATATAAAAGAATCTTACCTTGGCTTTATCCAACTCAATGATAAGGATGCAGCTAGCTTAGCCCAAATAATATTGGAGCAATTAGAAAAAGACGATATGAATGTAGAAAGTTACAGGTCACAATGCTATGACAATGCTGCTGCTATGGCTGGCCACAAGAGTAGTGTGCATCAAAGAGTAAAGGAAAAAAACAACCTTGCCATATTTGTCAATTGTGACATAGTCTTAATTTGGTAGGTGTACATGCAGCTAAAAAAGAAGTAATAATGGTTCTCAAGATCAACTCAATGATGAAAACTTAAAGATTACTTTGAAGTCTGATTCCGATACCAGGTGGAACGCCAAAACAGAATCAGTAAAACCTGTACACACCCACATTGATAAAATAGTGGAAGTTCTTCAGAACTTAATGGTAGACAAAAGCGCGTTAAATGAAACGAAAAGCGATGCAAAGCAGCTTTATAATAAAATTTTAATGTATGACTTTCTCACATTGCTAGGGTTTAGGAACAAGATTCTTAGCCGAATTGACAGTGTTCAAAAAAAGTTGCAGGACCCTAATATGAACTTTCATAATGCAGCTTTAGATATGAAATTGCTCCAAGATTATTTCCAAAGTGAGAGAGAAGTCTTAGTTCATGACTCAATAAAAGAAGAAGCTCAAATTTGCAATGAATGGGGTGTTGAATTTAAAAGATGTTAAAGAAGAAAAAAAAGAATGGATGGCAAAATGTTTTGAGATGTTGGGTTAACAGTAAAAGAAGAAATGGAAAGGGTAATAAAAGGGACTGTCGACCGTCTTTTCAATGAATTGAAAACAAAAAGCGTTCGATTAATGGAAATTGATGAAAAATTTGGATTTCTTCTTGATGTGGAAGGGTTGTGCATCAATACGGAAATCAATCACTTAAAAGATCAATGTAAAAATTTGGTGAAGTCTACAGTTCTGATGTGGATGGACGAGAATTGTACAAAGTAATTTTGGACTATAGAATGCTGCTTACTAGCCATAAGGAAATAATATAGTTGAATATAGAGACGAAAACGTTTTCCCTAATATGCGTATAGCATTGCAAATATTGCTAACAATAGCTCTGTCTGTAGCTAGTAGCGAGAGATCATTCAGTAAACTTAAGCTAATTAACTCTTACTTGAGAGCTTTGATGGGCTAAAGCTGTCTCTGTGATCTCGCTCTACTAAGCATAGAGCAAGAAATTACCAAAGAAATTGATTTTGACAATGTTATTAAGAAATTTGCAGCAACTAAAGCTAGAAAAATAAATTTGTAATATATGTTACATAATCAAATTGTTTATTTATAATGAGTAATAAAGTTTTATTAAAAGTTTGTGTCATCATTTATTATGTTTTTTTGAACACTGTTAAATAATATATAACAAAAACAAATTAGGAAAGTATCACTAAGGTCATACACCAGGGTAAAATCTAAAATAAAGATGTCTAGTGGATAACCTTTTGATTGCTTTACCTCCATTTTTTTTAAATCCATTATTTTCCTTAAATCCATTATTTCTGTTTGTGCAGCAGTTTCATTCTGAACAAAACTTTTGTTCAAAATGAAAGTTGACATTTACTATGGAAAAATAAAATATATTTTTATAGAATTAATTTTTTTTTTGTTTAATTTTTAACAATATTGAAAAAATTTATTTTTACAGAGAAATACAAAAAAAAAAAACTAAAAAATTTTTTTTAGTTTTTTTCTTTACAGAATTTTGCACTTAGTAGTAGTATATTAATAATCATTTGTATAGTTTGCACCAACTAACCCCGGGCTGGGGTAAGTTGGCTAACTTTTTTTTTTTTAAAGCCCTAGAAGGGTTTTAAGAATTTTTTTTATAATGAATGCAAGTTAAAAATGTAATTTATAATATGCTTTACTTAAAGAAATAAAAATTTGTTACTGGTTACCATGATTATTTATTTTTATCTTGTATTTTAAGACTATTTTCCATTTTTATTTTTAAAATTTAGTAGATTTTTAAAAATTTTCCAATATATATTTAAATGCTTTAGTAATCAAAAAAGATTTTTTTTTTGTCTTAGTGAAGATTTGAGAAGATGGTTCCTTACACAAGAAATGGATTTATTTAGGTTTTATTATTTTGGTTTTGTTATTTATAAAATGATCTATTTATTAGGTTAAAAAAATATTGATAATATCTTCCTAAATAACTGTTAATTATATATATATTTATATATATATATATATATATATATATATATATATATATATATATATATATATATATATATATATATATATATATATATATATATATATATATAGTGAAAACTAAATAATTATTAAGATATATTTCAATTATATTACTAAAAGTTTCACGCAATAGCGATCATCAGATGTAACAACAACAAAAAAGTAACAACAAAAATTATATTTTTTTTTTTTTTTTTTTTTTTTTTTTTATTTTACTTCACCTCATCAAGGCCGAGAAGGCCACTACAAACGAGGAGGCTACTTATTTTGTGGCTATAACCCTCTCTCAACTCTATAACTCCGAAACACGAACCTTGACGAACAAGGCCGCTGCGCGGAGAAACGAGTTGATATACAAAAAAGTACGATACGAGTAAAAACAAAAAAGTACGAAACGAGTACGATATACAAAAAATGCTATGGAGTGTCAGCTTTGATGACATTAAAGTTCTTTATTAGAAATTTATTTTCATGGCAGCATTTTGACGCAAGCTCGGTTCGTTTGTTAAGCAAATTTAATGGTGACATAATAATGTGGTATTATATGATATCATCTAATAAAATTTTACTTTTCTGAGTTTTGGTTTAGCTGGATTTATCAATCAATCGGCACTGTGTAGTTAGTCTTATTTGAGTGATTCTTGCATAACCAAAAAAAATGCATCTATTTAATAATAAAAGTTTTATAAAAAAAATGTTTTTTTTAAACAAGTAGTCAAAAATGAAACTCAAAAATATATTTTTTACCAAATCAAAGCAGGGAAGAATGCAAAGAGAATGAAGGCTATGAAACAGTTGTCAAAAATTTAGATAAATTATTTATTAACTGACCTGTATAAATAATTTTCAATCATAAATAAATTTAGTATTGCTCCCCTTAGTTGGTCTTTACTTTAATCTTTACTTTTTTCAGGAAATAATATGTGGATTAAAAAGTCGGCGGACCCTAATTTCAATGTCACCATGGGTAATTTTGACAAAGCCGAATTATGCGAACTAGTTGGCCTCTATATCTTATACACTATTGCCAAAGAATATGGTCTTAATACTACTGGTCTATATAGAGATGATGGTCTTTGCTGCTTCTATAATATGAGTGGTCCTCAATCGGAAAAAATAAAGAAAAATCTAATAAAAATTTTTAAAGACAATTTTAATCTTAACATCACTATCAAACTAAACTTAAAAACCGTAAATTTTCTTGATATCACATTCAACCTTTCTGAGAACTCTTTTAAACCTTATAGAAAACCAGGAGATAATCCTTTATATATTAACATCAATTCCAATCATCCACCAAGCATTATTAAATCGATACCAAAAATGATCTCTAACCGCATCAGCAGTATATCTTCAACCAAAGACGCTTTTGATAGAGCCACACCATTTTATAATAACGCTCTCAATTCTTGTGGATTCAAAGATAAGATCAATTTCATTCCAAATATCCAGAAATATAATACAAAATCTCGAATAAGGAACAAAGTGGTTTAACCCACTTTATTCACTCAAGGTCAGAACAAACATAGCCAAAACATTTGTGAGTACAATTGATAAATGTTTCCCGATAGGCCACAAATTTCACAAACTTTTTAATCGAAACAACTTAAAGGTTAGTTATAGCTGCCTTCCAAACATCAAGAGTATTATTACTTCTCATAATAAAAAGATATTATTTAGTTCTCATGAAAATGCCAATCAATTATACAATTGTCAACAAACCACCTTATGCCCTCTCAATGAAAAATGCCTTACAAAAAATCTTATTTATATTTGCAATGCAAAAACTCACCAGGAAGAAGGATATTATTACGTAGGGTTATATATATATATATATATATATATATATATATATATATATATATATATATATATATATATATATATATATACATATATATATATATATATATATATATATATATATATATATATATATATATATATATGTATGTATATATATATATATATATGTATATATGTATATATATATATATATATATATATATATATATATATATATATATATATATATATATATATATATATATATATATATATGTATATGTATATATGTATATATATATATATATATATATATATATATATATATATATATATATATATATCATTGTAATCATTGACGTACAAAATAATATATTATTTTGCAACATACCTGAGTATCATTTATATTATAATTATGTTTCAAACATTTATAAAATTTTTTCCAAATTATTTGAAAGATTTTAGAATCTAACATAGTATATCATTACACAATGGTGCCAAAAGGCAAAGTTTTGGAAATAGAATCATAACTAATGATTTAGAAATCCTAGAAAACTCATTGAGAACTTTTTAGAATGATATTTTTTTGTTTTTTATAAGAAAATTTAAATTTTAACTAAATTTGTGGACTGGGTTCAAATTACCATATTTAATCATTTTTGTTAAGTTAGTATTTTTTGATAAATACACAAAGTTAAATTTTTTTTAGAATGGCAATTTAAAAAGTAATTTATTAGATATACGTAAAAAAAAGAAAATTCAAAAATTTAAATAATATGGGGGTCTGGTTTCCACTGTTCTATTGATAAAAAATTTAGTATTTAAAAACATGTATTCTGTCAAATATGGATTTAAAATAATGTGAGTGTAATAAAATTGTAAGGAAAGAGTTCAAATGATTTGAACTTGCAACATATATTTGAAGATAAAAGTCAAAATAGTAAAAAATGTTAACAACTTTATCAGTGAAGAACCCAGAGTTTATTTGGGGATACCGGGTTTTTTTCAGCAACGTTAAGGGGGGGGGGGGGGGGAATTATGTTTTTGATTTCCCCTTCCCCCTTATTCTCATCTAGTTAAGCGGGTGCCACAATAATAATTTTTAATCATCATTTTCTTTATAATCATTTAGGTTTATCTTGTTTAGTTTTATCCTATAATAAGGTGTTGATTTAAAGGCATTTTTTGAATACATGAATTTACTGGTGGATGAGGTGGATGATGTTACTTTAGCTAAAAGAAAACTATTTTACTTAAGATTTTGATAAATGCTTTTGTTGCATATACCACTCTATCAGTAAATAATTATTGAAAATTGTTTAAAGTATTTTAAACAGTTATTAACTATATTTTAGTAAATTTAATTTAAAATAATAATTAAAAATATTTTAAACAATTTTTAATCAATATTTACACTACATAATATATTTACATATATTATATCGTGTAATATTTGTAAAATTAACAAAACAGTTTTACATCTTGTATTTGAATTAAAAACATAAGCATTTAATTAACATGTTTGATAAGCATTTAATAAATGTATTTAATAAACTATTCGAATAAAAGCGTAAGCATTTTAATAAACTTAGTTTCTATTGTTTTAAATTTAAAATTTTGATTTAAATATTAGTAAATCTGTTCATTTACCAAAAAAAAAAAAATATATATATATATTTTCATTTACTAAAAAATTATAACTTTTACCAAAGGTTATAATTTTTAAGTGATTTTAAGGCGCCTTTTAAATTAAAGATAATTAAAGAATTAATTTTTTTTTTTTTTTAAACATTTTTGCTTCCAACAAGGCTGCAAGCAATCACTAATTAGTGTTGGAAGTTACTGGAAGAGAAAAGATGAAGGTTGTAGAGCAAGATAACGATTGACAGACGACTTAAAAGATTGCAAATTATATGAATCAGGAAAGCAAGATGAAGGAAGCGAATTCCAAAGAACTGATGTTCAAGGAAAAAAACTAGACGAGTTTTTGGAGCACTTAGGAACAGTAACAGAAAAAGGATGAGACTTAATTAAATGACGAGTAACACGAGAATGAATTTTAGTAGATGGCACAAGAGACACTAGCTCTTTAGAGCAGTGCTCATTATAGTATTTGTAGAAAAGAGAAAGAAAAGCAACATTACGACGTTGTGACAGAGGTTGAAGGCTGGCTGCAAGAGCAAGTCCAACTATGTTTACAATGCATTTTTGCACCTTGTCTAAAAGAGAAAGGGCATCATTAGAATATCCGCCCCAGATATGGCAACAGTATTCCATACAAGGCCGGATTTGAGATTTGTAGAGATAGAGAATAGAATCCAGAGTAAGAAAGTGACGAGCTCGATAAAGAGATGCATCTTTAGCAGATGCTAATTTTGCAACGGATTTGATATAAAGTTTCAAAGAAAGATCAGAAGTAAGAGTTAATCCTAGAAGATGAAGGGTAGGAGACTCATCGAGTACATTACCGTTCATAAATATAGGAAGGTCTAAATTATTGCGATAACGATTGGCTGAAAAAAATTGAGTTTTATCTGAATTAAAGTTCACCAGCCACTGTCAGCCCCATGCTGTAGCAGAAGTGAGATCCTTTTCAAGCTCAGATGCCCCCTGCAAGGAATCAGAGGGAGTTGGCTTCTTATCGTGACAAAAATAAATGGTAGTATCATCAGCGAACAATGCCACCTTAGATCTGAGAATATCTGGAAGATCGTTAATGTAAATTAAAAAGAGTATAGGGCCAAGGATTGAACCTTGGGGAACCCCTGAGGTTACAGAATAAGAAGAAGAGTGCTGTCCATCAAGGACAACTTTCAAATTATGATTGGAAAGGAAGGATTCAATAATCTTAAAGATGTTTCCAGATACACCGTAAGAAGAAAGTTTATGGAGAAGACCAGAATGCCAAACTTTATCAAATGCTTTATAAATATCAAGAGCGATGGCCTTAACCTCTCTTCCTTTATCTAATGCGCAATAAAACCTTTAGGTTATTACTGATAGCAAATCAGCCGTAGAACAAGAAGATCTAAATCCATATTAATGATCAGAAAGTAGGTTATGAGATTCGAGATTCGAGATGAAGTGTTTGTTAATTAAAGATTCAAAAACCTTGCTTATGAAAGAAGACTAATGGGACGATAGTTAGACGAATCAGAACGCTCTCCAGATTTTTAAAAATAGGGATAACAGATGCTGCTTTCCAGCAGGCTGGAAAACAAGACTTTGATAAGCACTTGTTAAATAGTTTTGAAAGGATAGATGACAGCTCCGGAGAACAATTCTGCAAGACTATAACAGGTATGTTGTCCGGGCCGCAAGCTGTAGAAGAGTCTAAGCAGGAAGTCACTTTAGATACAAAAGCTGGAGTGATATGAATGTCGAGCAATGGATCAACCTGTTTGACGGCTATATCAGGAAGAATGCAACTAGTGGAATCAAGAGATGATATTGATGAAAAGTTCTTGGCAAACAATTCAGCTTTGTCTTTAGGTGAGGTGACAAAGTCTGAACCGTACAAAAGAGGTGGAATTACAGACTTGCCTTTATTATTGATACTATTGAAGATTCTCCAGAAGTCACGAGAGCCTAATTTTTGTGATAAAATACGAAATTTCATGATCTTAGAATAGCGGGCTTTGGTGTTAGACAAAACCTTTTTACAATGGTTCCTAGCAGTAATAAACAGACGTCTGTTTTCTGGAGAATTGTTTTGCTGATAGATATGAAAGTAATGGTTTTGATTGGATATTGCAGCAGCACAATGCAAGGAAAACCATGGAGAAAAGTGAGGCTTGACCTGAAATTGTCGAGAGGAAATAAAGGATTCCATGCCAGCCTGAATCCAAGAAATTATGTAAGAAGCACATTTGTCAGCAGGAAGACAAAAGATTTCTACCCAAAAGCCATCACAAGGAAAATCACAGAAAGAGCCCCAGTCAGCTTTAAGGTAGTTGTAAGATGTACAATGATATGAGGGTTTTTAATGGTAAAAAAGAATGAGATAATAGTTTTAGAGAGACCAAACCATGATCAGAAGCACCTAAGAGTGAGTGTGGAGAAACTGAGCACTGACTAGGATTAGAAACAAGACATAAGTCGAGTAGAGAAGGTAAATGATTTGGGTTGTCTGAAACTGAGAATTATTTATTTACTACTGCATTTAAAACTAAAAATTTTATCATTTTTACATTAAAAATCAAACAAAAAATTAAAAATAAAAATAAATTTTGGGCGCTTTTTTTTGTGCGCCCATACCGGTAAAACAGTACTAAAACTCGTCTGGGTTCTTCATTGTTTATAATTAATCATAAATAAGGTTTTCAAACATATCATCAAAATATCTCTTTGGTTTTAAAAATATACGCTTATGAGATCTGCTTGTATGCTCATTTGAACCACAATCTTGGCATAACATTAGAGGATGTGAATAGATAATTTGATGAACACAACACAAGGATCCAATCTCTCTAAAAGATGACTCATTACATCTGTAAGTTGTTCTAGATGTGATGTCTTACGAGAGAGAAGTTTTAAATAATTTTTAATATTTTTGTTGTTCGCTTCAAGACCTTCTTCCGATAAATTGCCAATGTCATAACCATCATTAAGAATTATTAACTCAGCTGAATAATTAAGGACTCCAAGAAAAGTGTGGTTAATTTGTGCCATGGCATATTTGTAATAATATTAAGTGTAGCATTATTGCATAACTCTTGAAATTTGTCTATTTTAATTTTACACTGACAAGAAAATATACGAAGTATTATACTGATTTGAGAATGTAGTAGTAACATGCTATCTTTAGTAACATGCTATTTTTTGTACATAGGAGAGCATAGATCTTTTATGCTAGAAATTAGTTCTTCAGAAAAAAATCTACGACCTTGTGACCCTGTTGTAGATTTTCCTTTCTTCTCACCAGAGTTACAACACAAATCTAATCGCAGTCCACTGTTTTATTTTATTTTAGTAATAATCCTGTCTTTTGAACTACATATTGGTTCACCAAGTGGTCCAGTTTTGTAACCCAAAATCTTTTATCTATATGACACCGATAAAGTAGTTTTAAAAACCAGGTAGTGCTATTTATATATGAATGTGTAATATGTGTGCTTTTTTGATCAGATTTGGTTTGTGGTTTTTTAGTAAGTCCTTTTCATGTGGCAAAATCTCCAGTTTTAGTTGGAATGATCCTTATCAACTTTTGCTTTTTGTACAGCATCCAAATTTCTTCTGATGATGGATTAATCGGAAATCCTTCACTAACTCTTCTAATATCTGTTCATTTAGTAGTTTTTGTTTTGCAAAATATACAATCTACACCTCCTGCTGATGAGTTTAATGAGTTTTAAGTTTTAAATCCTTCATTGTATCTTGAATATAAATTTTGACATTGATATAATTTTTGCCAAATAGACAACACATTCCTCAGCATTTAACTCTTCTCGTGCGTTATCAGTAGTTTGGACAATAAGATCAAGCAAATCTTGATTAGTTTCTGTTTCTCTCATCAAAAACACAGGATGTAATGATCTCAATGCATTTGGTGAAAAATTGTGCCAAAGGGTTATATTTTTATGATGGAATATTAGTTTCAGAGGAATAAGACCATATTGAAACATATTTGATTTGCTTTCAATCATTTCTTTTGATTTCATCGATACTTGTTGCCCTGCTCCATCACAACCATCCTTAAAACTCATCTGATACTCATCGCCGTCTACTTGAATAATAGAATCTTTAATTGTATTCAAAACAGAATCAATTGTCATTTTTACAAGCTCTTTGTATTGAACAGAAACACCTCTTCCAGTCAAAACATTACTAATTGTAGGGCACAATTTTTTTCTTCTTTTAAGTAATTCATTGGTTGTTGGAAAATATATGCCTTTTGAAACAAAAAGAAACCTTAATTTTCTCATTTGCTCTTTACTTAATGTAAGGGAATGCATTAGAAGATATCTGATAGTTTCCATATGGTTTGTATAAATAGCATTTCTAACACGAGCAATACTTTTATTATTTTGTGTGTTAACTCTATGTAAGAGGTAACCCAATAACTGGTTAACATGCAACAACAACAACAAAAAAAAACTCTAGGTACTCATTAGTGATAAAGTTGTTTATATAAATAAGAAGTTCCTGTATCCTCTCCTTTTTGATCTTATCACCCAGTTCTGTAAAAGATTTTTTTGTTTTGAAAAACACAGTTCTTATATGTAAACATCCTATACTTCATAAATAATATCTTTTGATGCTTGTGAAAGTATAAATGCATATACATTTTTCTTGAAATGTTTTTCTTTCAGGCCTTTATAACGTTTCCATGTTTTTCACACGCATTTTCAAACTCCAGTGAATTAACTGATAGTTGAAAATTTTTATAAAGTATTTCTTCAATGGCTGAATGTTACTGAATTTGACTTAACAGTTTTGTCAGTTTTAATAAATTGTGTGAATAAATCTATTTCTGTCATGTATTTTACATTTTTATTTTCCTCCATTACATATATTTTTTATTTTACTTTACTTTTGCTGAAACAAACACAAATTTGTATTAAATAACCAAATAAAAAATTTAAAATTTTCATATTTGTAACCAAAGTTAGAATATTCACATATTTTAAGAAAAAAAAATAATCGCTGTTCAACTTTTTTAAATTATGTAAATAAAAAAAAAGTGCTAACTATCCTCAGTTCTCTATAAAATATTTGAAAATAATGTTAAATATTTTAAAAATGAATGACACAGTAGAGGCAAGCTAGCACTTTTGAAAAAATCTAAGATTTTATCTGATTTTTTGTAAAAAACAACAGCATAAATTTATAACATTATTACATAATTAAGTTTTAAAGGCTTTGAAGAAAAAAATAAAAAATAAAAAAAAAAAACATATTTTAAATTTATTTATTCAAAAATATATTCCATATCAAATTAAAAACAACTTTTAAATAAGTGGTTAATCAATTTTCATGTCGGTAAATTCATTTTGAATGGAAACTAACCAAATTTACTAAATTTTTATAGATACACAAAAAAAAAATTGGAAATTCATCAACTTCAAAATTGCATATCATCACTTTTAATTAGCTATAAAAATAAGCTATAAATTAAAAGAAAGCTATAAAAATAAGCTATAAATTAAAAGATATTAAAGAAATTAGCTATAAAAATAAGCTATAAGTTAAAAGAAATTAAAGAAATTAGCTATAAAAATAAGCTATAAATTAAAAGAAATTTAAGAAATTAGCTATAAAAATAAGCTTTAAATTAAAAGAAATTAAAGAAATTAGCTATAAAAATAATTTTTTTTTAATTTATCCACAAATTTATCTGACTTTCTGAATAAATAATTTTTATAGACTTTCTCAAACAAATATTTTTTGTCTAAGAGGTGAGTTAAGTTCCTGACAATAGAGATTAGGTCATCATTAGGTCACCTTAGATTATTTTTTGTTCACAAATAGTTTTTAATATATTAGTTTCATTTATTTCTTTTCACTGTAAAATACTTTTTATTAATATTTTATTTTAGATTTCGATTTCAATTAGAAAGCAATGAAAATATAAATTCTTTTCTCAAGCAAAACAAACTACTATTTGATCCAGTAAGTTGTGCATTGGGTTTATTGATAAGTTTTTTATATTTTGTAAGATATTTATTAATTTTAATCTACTAGATAAATCAGGGTGCTTATTTATAAAAACATTTGTAAAACAAAAATTAGGGTAAACTTTTAAAAAGTTTTGCTTAAGTTCAAAGATACACAAAGTCATATTCATGATCCTCTTTCATACAAAAACTTCCGAAATTCTTGTTTTTACCTGCAAAAATTCTAAAAAATGGTATTCACAACATTTTTTGAAAAAATACTCAGCAAACTTTAAGCAAGAAAAGTTATGTTTTCTATTTACTGACTGTAGTTCTGTGTATTTTCTGTGGCGTTTGGTGTAACAAATCATTTATATAATAAAGTTTGTATTAATGTGATTTATTTCTTATTGGTCTGTTCCTTATTGACATATAAATAATGACAAGGTGTGAATAATGAGAGGACAAATGTTGATTTACTTTCCAAAAATTTTTTTTGACTAGCTAAAGAATTACATTTAGATTTTTTTTCTTCAACAAGACAACGGCTCGACAAACGCACAACCAAAGTACCACAACAATTCCCCTAAAAAAGCTGATAAACTTAATTGGCAGGCTCAAAGCCCTTACACCAAATACCTCCTTTAAAATGAAAAAACAAAAAAAAAAAAAAATTAATGAGATGCTTAGTGAAACTTTTTAATTTAGTACTGTATCATTGTTAATGATACAGTACTAAATTAAAAATTTAATAGTTTTTACAATAGTTACCATAGTTATATTTTATAGAATAAATAATTACCAAAAATTTTACAAAAGGTTATACAAAAGGTGTGAAGAAATTAATAATAAACAAAATAGCAAATAAAAATAACAAAGATAATTGAGAAATCATATTGTTATAGTAATAGTGTATTAAGAAGAGGTTTTTCCATTTTAATATGGATACCTTCCTTAATTTTGAGTTCATACTTGGAGAAAGCTCTGTCAATAATGAAAAGCAATCAAGATTTGTTGAATTTTCATTTTTGTGATGAATTGAGATGTTTGTAAATATGGGGGGCCATATATTAATTCAAATGTTCTGAAATACTTGTTGTGTTCATTTTTTTCAGACAAACAATCTTCTTTTTTTTTTTTTTTTTTAAATTATCTTCGCTTCCAAGCAACCACTAATTAGTGTTGGAAGTTACTGGAAGAGAAAGATGAAGATTGTAGAGCAAGATAACGATTGACAGACGACTTAAAATATTGCAAATTATATGAATCAGGAAAGCAAGATGAAGGAAGCAAATTCCAAACAACTGATGTTCAAGGAAAAAAACTAGACGAATAAGAGTATTTGGAGCACTTAGGAACAGTAACAGAAAAAGGATGAGACTTAATTGAATGACGAGTAACACAAATTTTAGTAGATGGCACAAGAGACGCTAGCTCTTTAGAGCAGTGCCCATTATAGTGTTTGTAGAAAAGAGAAAGAGAAGCAACATTACAACGATGTGACAGAGGTTGAAGGTTGGCTGCAAGAGCAGGTCCAACTTTGTTTACAATGCGTTTTTGCACCTTGTCTAAAAGAGAAAGGGCATCATTAGAAGATCTGCCCCAGATATGGCAACAGTATTCCATACAAGGCCGGATTTGAGATTTATAGAGATGGAGAATAGAATCCAGAGTAAGAAAGTGACGAGCTTGATAAAGAGAAGCAACTTTAACAGATGCTAATTTTGCAACGGATTTGATATAAGGTTTCCGAGAAAGATCAGAAGTAAGAGTTAATCCTAGAAGATGAAGGGTAGGAGACTCATTGAGTACATTACCGTTCATAAATATAGGAAGGTCTAAATTATTGCGATAACGATTGGCCAAAAAAAATTGAGTTTTATCTGAATTAAAGTTCACCAGCCACTGCGAGCCCCATGCTGTAGCAGAAGTGAGATCCTTTTCGAGCTCAGATACCCCCTGCAAGCAATCAGAGGGAGTTGGCTTCTTATCGTGACAAGAATAAATGGTAGTATCATCAGCGAACAATGCCACTTTAGATGTGAGAATATCTGGAAGATCGTTAATGTAAATTAAAAAGAGTATAGGGCCAAGGATTGAACCTTGGGGAACCCCCAAGGTTACAGAATAAGAAGAAGAGTGCTGTCTATCAAGGACAACTTTATTGAAACCAAAGATTTAAAACTTCAACACATCAGTCCACGTTTACAGTCATTGATGGTCCATCATTTATGTGAATTTGCCCACTTTAGCATTTTTATTATTCTTATGTTTTTCATCAAAGCATTTCAATCAAAAAATATTTTTAAATTATTTAAGCAAAAATAAGCATAAACAATAGTTAAATAAAAAATAACATGAAAGCAAGAAAGAGTAATGCCAAATACTCTTTCTTGCTATAAAAATGTGTAAACATGATAATAAAGAATTATTTTCTGTTAATATGGTATTAAGTTTTTATTTTTAGAATTTATATTTAGTATTTTATATTAATAGTACAATAACATAAGTATTCATATCTGTTGGTTAATTTATTGGTTATTATTTCCTGATAAGTTATTTAATTTTTTTGTCTTTACCTTAAAGTAATATAAAATATTTTAATATCTGAAGACCTTAGTGGTTAAGTATTCAAGTCAAAAATTATTTATTTTAATGACCTTTAATAAGCTGACTTTGAAATTAGCCAGGAAATGCCAATATATCTTGAAACTGCTCCATATTCGCAGTGTTGTAATGAATAAACCTGCTTATTTTTAAAGTCTCATATTTTAAATCAATAATTTAGTTAAATATAAAAATAATAAATAACAATAAAAATTTGTTTTTAACTAAAGTGCTTTTTTTTTTTTTTCTAAACTTCATAAAAATTGGTACAGAAGACTTATTTAATATAATGTGAAAAGATTTATTCCTAAAACTTATATTGTTCAATAAATTGTTTAACAATAGATTGATAAAGAGACGAAAATGAAAATCAAAGAAAAACTTAGAGATTCTATGTTTAATGTTGAATTGCATCATGTTATGGATACAGAGTTTTATAAGGTAATATTTTGAATATTTTTAAATTTAAAAAAAGTTTTATATTTATTAAACTTTTGATTTTTCAGATGTTTCTCTATGTATATACTCTATATAAACTTATACACATATCTCTAATTATGTATTTTTGTAATAATTTTTTGCTCTTAAGGTACCTTTTACTGATGTTTTGGATCTCGTTCGCAGCAGAAAAGTTTTTATTTGCAAAGTAATTTTTTCTAAATGTTAAAAATAATTTTTTTAGAATATTTTTATTAAATATTTTATTACTAATTTAACCGTTTTATCTTACTGTTGATAAAGTAAAAATGTTTAGATTTTTTATACATTTTTGGTTTTTCATCAAAAAAAGATGAATAAAAATAATTATAAAAAAAAATAATTATAATAAAAGTAATAATAATAAAAAAATAATAATAATAAAAATAATAATAATAATAAAAGTAATAATAATAAAAGTAATAATAATAAAAGTAATAATAATAAAAGTAATAATAATAATAATAACAAAAATAATAAAAATAATAATAATAAAAGTAATAATAATAAAAATAATAATAACAAAAATAATAAAAATAATAATAATAAAAATAATAATAAAAATAATAATAAAAATAATAACTGGAAAAAGAAAGATAAAAGTACAATCAGAAAAATGACTTAAACATTACAAGCACACTGTTGTAGGATTTTTTTTTTAATTTAGTTTCTATATTGCTTACAAAAAGCAGTTTTAAATATGTTTTGTTGGGTTGGCGTTGTCATATAGATCTGTTGTTGTTTTTCCTTTTACTGGTTTCTTTGACTATTTTCTTCTTTGTTGATATATTATTGCTAAGATATTTGACATTAGTTTTTTGCTTAGATTTTTGGTTTTAGTTATTTTGTTATTAGCACTACTTTGCAGTTTCTTCAATATTTTACTAATATTTCAAAAGTTTACTAATATTATTTTTTATTTCATTTTTTCAGAATTGAATATGGGTGTTTCTATTTTTTCAGATTTTTTAGAAGTGAGATCTTTTAGTTTTTAACAGTGAGATTTCCAGTTTTTATGTTAACTTAAATATTTATCTAAATATTTAATGTTTTATCTAAATATTTTATCTTAGTATCTTAATTTTTTAGCTTCACAGTAATTTATTTTGAATTTATTTTTATTAGCTATACATTAATGATGATTTATGAATGTATTTTTATCCTTAGTTTCAATCTTTTTTATTTCTGGACATGTGTTTGTTTTTCTTTGTATTACTTAGCCACCTTTATATTTTATATTTAGGTGTGGGCTTTCATTGCTCAGTCTAATTAAATAAATAAGCAGTGCAGGTTTTCCTGTACCACATATTGCAAAATTTTTTTAATAAGTTTATGAATTTTATTTAAAAACATTCTTTCATAATTTTTTTTTACAATATTTCATGAAATGTATACTTTTATTTCATTCTCTATTTATTAAATGTTTAATTTTTATTTTGTATTTGTGAGTTTATAATGTTTAATTTTTATTTTGGATTTGGAAGGCATTTTAAATTGCTATATTTAGTATTGTTTTGATATATTTTCAGTTCTTATTTTTAAGGCATTTAAAAATAAGAACTAAAATGGTTTGATGTTTAAATGGTTGCAAAGTATTTTGTTTTAATAACAACAACAATAATAATAATAATAATAATAATAATGATAATATATTTTTCTGTTGGGTCAATGCCAAGATATGACAGACTCAATAACAGGTTTTACAAAACAAGTCAATATTTTTTAATAAAATTGAATAAATGAGGAATCTCATTTATAATGACCTATAAAGTAAAAATGAACCAATTCTTAGACTTAAGGGAGACAAAAATATGTATTTTAAAACGATTTCATCTGGAATCATTTTAAAATACATATTGGATCAAAATTTGATTCGCGATATTTAGGTGAATGTATTCAAAATTCTGTTCAATGTTTAAATTTCCGATTTGCTGGGTATTAAGGTATATGGCTTATATGGCTTGCTATTTAGTATTTAGTAAAATATGTTTTATGTAGCTATGTAGGTTCAGGACACATTAGGTTAAAACACCTGCTTTAACAACTTGTTAAACAGGTTTTATAGTAAATATTTCATTAAAAAAATAAGTCTGATTGACACACTGTTTTTTAAAAACACAATTGATTTTTTAACTCTGAAATTAACTTTGGTTTTGCATCTTATTAAATTACATTTATTAAAATTGAGTATAAGAACATAGAATACTTAATATTTTATAATACAGGAAATTTGGAGATGGTTTATTTTTTGAATCCTGTAAACGAATATCTAAAATGTATCCAAAAATTGAGTTTGAGGGTATGATTATAGATAACACATGTATGCAGGTTGTTTCTAAACCACAGCAGTTTGATGTAATGGTTATGCCAAATTTATATGAAAAATAATTGAAAAAAAATAGACTCACTTGTCTCTTTAAGAAATTTTCGGAATAGGTATCTGTAATCTGGTCTTCTTAAAATAGCTACTTTTTTTTTTTTCAAACATCTTCGCTTCCAACAAGGCTGCAAGCAACCACTAATTAGTGTTGGAAGTTACTGGAAGAGAAAAGATGAAGATTGTAGATTAAGATAACAATTGACAGACGACTTAAAAGATTCCAAATTATATGAATCAGGAAAGCAAGATCAAGGAAGCGAATTCTAAAGAACTGATGTTCAAGGAAAAAAACTAGACGAATAAAAGTTTTTGGAGCACTTAGGAACAGTAACAGAAAAAGAATGAGACTTAATTGAATGACGAGTAATGTGAGAGTGTCCATTATAGTATTTGTAGAAAAGAGAAAGAGAAGCAACATTACGACGTTGTGATAATGGTTGAAGGTATGTTTAGAATGCGATTTTGCACCTTGTCTAAAAGAGAAAGGGCATCATTAGAAGATCCGCCCCAGATATGGCAACAGTATTCCATACAAGGCTGGATTTGAGATTTATAGAGATAGAGAATAGAATCCAGAGTATGAAAGTGTCGAGCTCGATAAAGAGATGCAACTTTAGCAGATGCTAATTTTGCTACAGATTCTATATATGGTTTCCAAAAAAGATCAGAAGTAAGAGTTAATCCTAGAAGATGAAGGGTAGATGACTCATCGAGTACATTACCGTTCATAAATATAGGAAGGTCTAAATTATTGCGATAACGATTGGCTGAAAAAAATTGAGTTTTATTTTAATTAAAGTTCATCAGCCACTGTGAGCCCCATGCTGTAGCAGAAGTGAGATCCTTTTAAAGCTCAAATTCCCCCTCCAAGCAATCAGAGAGAGTTGGCTTCTTATCATGACAAGAATAAATGGTAGTATCATCAGTGAACAATGCCACCTTAGATGTGAGAATATCTGGAAGATCGTTAATGTAAATTAAAAAGAGTATAGGGCCAAGGATTAGACCTTGAGGAACTTACTATTATTTTTACTACTATATTTTTTTAGGAGGAATTTGCCATTCAATTTTTCTATATTTTTATAGCATTTAAAGAATTGTATTAAATCCCCTCTCTTTCTTTTTTCTGATAGAGTTATTGAATTTAACAAGCATAATCGTTTTTTATATGATAGATGTTGTATTTCAGGAATCAATTTTGTTGCTTGTCTTTGTATGTTTTCAAGGATATTTATATCTTTCTCCATATGAGGTGATCAAACCTGAATTGCATACTTAAGATATGACCTACATAGTGTATGTACTGTTGCCTGAAAGATGATTTGGTTTTGTATTTAAATATTTTTGACAATAGGCCCAGTCTACTATTTGCTTTGGCTACTGCTGATTTAATTTAAACTTTCCATTTTAAATCTCGTGAAATTGCTACCCCTAAATCTTTTTCCAACCCAGAAGTGCTAAGAACGTCTTTAAATTCACCTTGCCCAAAAGTATATGTTTTGGATTTTGTTTACCAATGCGCATAACCTTGCATTTTTAAACCATTCTTTTATAATGTCGATATAATTTTGTAACTTTGAACTTCTTTCATCTAATATTGCAACAACTTTGCAATCGTCCACATATAACTTGCATGGGTTTTTAAGTAATGAACACAAATCATTTATGTAAAGATTGAACAGTAACGGACCAAGAATGGATCTTTGTGGGACACCACTTCTGACTTCTAGCCATATTGAATTAAAATCACCATAAATAACTCTTTGACTTCTACTTGATAAGAAATATCTGATGCAATTTGAGAAAATCAATTTTATACTTTAGATATAAAAATTTAGAAGTAATCTTTCATGTTCAACAGTTTAGCATAATTGATGTATAAAATATCAATTTGTTTTCCATTTGCAATTAAAGACGTAACAATATCCATATATTCCAACAAGATTGTGATGCAGATTTTGCTTTTAACAAAACATGTTGCTTATATGTTAATAAATCATTTTTAATTATATGGTTCACTATTTGCTCGCTGATTATTCTTTCTAGAATTTTACAAAGAACCAAAGTTAAAGAAACTGGACAATAATTAGATGCTTTTAAACGACTGCCCTTTTTAAACAATGGAGAAATATATGCAAGTTTCCATGCCTTTGGTACCTCAGCTTTATCTATTGATTTTCTGAATAATAAAAATATTGGCAGCTAACATAAAGGGATGTACACAATTCGAACCCATTGCTTGCATTTTGTTATAAAAATTGTGTTTGTTTTAAAGATAAGATAAGATTGTATTTTAATAGTTTGTTTAAAACATCACAATTGTCAAAGTATATTTTGTCAATGATTTTAGTTGTTTGATTTTCAAATCTTGGTAACTACTCATTTTCTGCACTTTGAACAAAGACTAATTGAAAATGTTAATTTATGTGTTCTATAATATTTTTTGGATCTGTTATTATATTTCCCTTGAATTCAATGGCTTTAATGAAGTTTTTTATTTGTTGCTTGAATTTAATATATCTGTACAAAAGTTTTGGGTTTTTTGTCAAAGTTTTGTGCATCAGTCTTAAATTTTTTTGTAACATTATGCAGCATTGTAACATTATGCCTTGCAGCATTGTAACATTACGCAGCATTTTGGCATTATGCCTTGCAGCATTGTAACATTACGCCTTGCAGCATTTTAACATTACGCTTTGCAGTATTGTAACATTACGCAGCATTGTAACATCACGCCTTGCAGCATTGTAACATTACGTCTTGCAGCATTGTAACATTACCCAGCATTG